GAATAAATAGTTATAATTTATAATGATTATACAATCTCTCTCCACGGCTCCACAAAAGGCCACAGAAATTATTTGACACAACATTTTCTACTATTTTTACTTTTGTTTAATAATTTTCCAGATTATCAGACCTGAGATATACAAACACAGAGAGAATGTACGAAACGTATAAAAATTTTAATTAAACATAACCTAAAGGCTCGTTGTCTTAATTTGATGCTAAACTAACTTCAATGTAAACCAAAAAATAAGTTATATTTTTCCCAATTGTGTATAAATAGAGGTTCGACTCAATCTGTTATCAATTTTGGCATTTTTTCTATTTTCAAAGTCCATAATTTCCCAGAGGTTTTGCTTTTAATAACCATTTGTTAAAAGCCATTTAGTCTTGTCGTACATTTCACAAACTTTTTATTTTTAAAAAAATTATATATTTTATCTCATATTCTCCTTTATTTTGCAACAATTTTAAATAATAAACTTTATATTAAAGTATATTATTTATAGCTCAAAACATTGTATAATCATTATAAATTATAACTATTTATTCATAATATAAATAAATAGTTATAATTTATAATTAATGAACAAATTTATTGATATCCAATTGAAATTTTAAAATGATTAAAATTGTAGACACTGTCAACACTATTCAATATATTTTCATTAAAATTTGTTTTTCAAATGACTTAAAGACATTTAAATTTTCTCAAATTTAAGAAAATTAAACAAAAATATAAATTGTATTCACAAAATTGCCTGTAATTGTATTTCACTCAATCATTTAATTGAATATCTAATTATATGAATGATATTCTCTTTAAACAAACACATTTCAAATAATTAAATATAAAATTATAAACATTAAACCTTTTTATACACAAATCAATAGTTATAAATGTAGGAAATGTTATGTAAAACATAATTATGACTACATGTAAAACTAATTTGTACTATAATAAGGATTTAAAATCATTTAATAAGTGTTTATAATTAATTTACTTGAATATAACGAGTACTGCATTCCATTAAATAACATTTATATTCATTATTTCTAAAATCAATACATAAATCAATAAATTACAATCGCGACACCAATAATGATAATAATAATAATGTTATTTGATGTTTGCATTTATAATAATCCATTATTAATAAAGTAAATTAGTTTTGTGTTATATTAGACAATAGTTATGTTCACGTTATTTCACGATTTTATGACAAATTTAATAATCTTAAGTTGTGTTCACCTAAAAACTGCTGCGATTACTACACAGAATCTTTATATAATGATAACATGTAGGGAATTGTTGACATGAAAAACAATGACAATAAAGTTTGCATAATATTTGTCTTTAATAGAAAAATATATTTTATTAATATTTTAATCTAAGAATAATTAATTAAATAAAATATGAAATTCAATGTTTGTGGGGCTGTGCGACACAAATGGATTTTATCGGCGAAACCTGTCATTCAATATAATGAACAAAACGTATAAATTAATGAAAAATATTTTTGGTGTAAAGTTTTTTCTTGTGATAAATCAATCAAAGATATGATTGAGATATAGTATGAGTTGAATAATCGTTTGGAATTCAATATAAAAATCTTAGATTTGATGTTTAGATATAATTAACGATTTGGGAAATGGTTTGCGAATGAATGAGCAGTGCTTTTGTTAATAAACCAGAATTGCAGCTATGGTTTGGTCTCTGTGTTCAAGACATTCGTATTCCTATTCTTCGAGTCTCTGGTTTTGACGATCAAATAATCACACTATCAGTCCGGGTCAGTCCAGGTGGCACACCATACCATCATCTCCTCCCTACCTCTCCCTGGCTCTCTCTCTCTCTCTCTCTCCCTGGCTCTCTCCCTCTCTCCAAGGTATACGCCATTCAAACATATAATATAAGTATATATAAGGTATATATGAGGTATATTTAGATGATATGGTATGGAAGTTGAATAGAGTGGCGATAAGTGCTGTGTATGTATGTATATATCTGTAACAGTGTTCCCCCTATCCATATACTAGTTGTAACAGCAACTCATATTAACCTTCTCCTCTCCTTCCTCTCCTGCTCTCGATTGGTGTCTTCATCGCGTCATGAGATGTGAAGATGGAGTTTGAAATGAATAGTCCAATCGGAGGGACGCTATCAGTGGTGAGAGAACCGCCCAATTGTTTAGTCTCGAAATTTATCTAGGATCACTTTTCAGTTTGGCTCTGTTATGCGACAGCAATACTTTACCGATACTTTACAGTTGTGTCAGAGATATACACCATTGCTATCGGCACTTCTTGTGGACGGCTTCTGGTTATAGACACATACTGTGCCCAATATAATACATACTCTCGTACTCCTACTCCACTAACTCAATACTAAAACACGGATATAACCAGTTGTGGTCTCACTTACCATTGCTGCTTACGATTACTCGTCCTCTTCTTCCTCCTCATCTATTTCTTCGCTCTATTCACACAACTATTCTTCGGACGAATCCCTATCGGCGGCCAAAGTGAGGCCTAACAACACGATAGCGTCGCGGGCGTCGACAGTGTCGTTGTCGGCGCTGCCCTTATCTCTAGTGCAGAATCCATTCCCCGCTTCCGGTATGACTGCATTGGGTTTGGGAACTGCGGCCGCATTGGCAGCGCTCACCGCCGCAAACGGTGCTCTCGGGTCCACCGGCTCTTCAAACAGCCCCACATCAGCAGCCGCTGCGGCCGCCGCCGCCGCTGCCTATGGAGCACATCCCGCGGCCGCTATGTTTATGTTACCCACTCTTAACTTCACTGTCAGTCAAGTGGCGGCTGTTTGTGAGACACTCGAGGAAAGTGGAGACATCGAACGACTCGGAAGGTTCTTGTGGTCGCTTCCAGTGGCGCATCCAAATTGCGGTGAACTCAATAAAAACGAGTCAGTACTGAGAGCCCGGGCTTTAGTGGCCTATCATTCGGGAAACTTCCGAGAGTTGTATCATATTCTCGAAAATCATCGCTTCACCAAAGGTTCGCATTCAAAGTTACAACACATGTGGTTAGAGGCTCACTATCAGGAGGCAGAGAAGCTGAGGGGTCGCCCACTCGGACCCGTCGACAAGTATAGAGTGAGAAAGAAGTATCCGTTGCCGCGAACCATATGGGATGGCGAACAGAAGACACACTGTTTCAAAGAGAGGACCAGATCTCTGCTCAGGGAATGGTATCTTCAGGACCCGTATCCAAATCCAACTAAAAAGCGCGAATTAGCGACTGCCACAGGATTAACACCCACTCAAGGTATGTCTAATCTATCATTTTCATTAATTTATACATTATATCGATTACATTCATCGGTTAATTTTATTTTATTATATATTTTAAAATTGTTTTTATTAAATAAATTAAGTTTTGTTTTACTTTTATTATTTTTTTGGTTAACGAAACTAAAGTTGGAAATTGGTTTAAAAATCGTCGTCAACGCGATAGAGCGGCGGCGGCTAAAAACAGGTAAATTAAATCGTTTTTATTAGTTATTTACTATATTTATCTGCGCTTACGGTTTAAGTTAAACAATTGAAAAATACCGTAATTAACGAAAACTTTTGTTTTCATGAATACAATCGAGTGAATGATGTGTTTCTCAAAACTAATCATTTTTAATCACTTTAGAGATAATAATTGATTTTTAGATTTCACGATAAATATTGAAATCTATTCAAGCGTCTAGAAATGTTTCATTGCATTTGTCATTGCATTCAAACTATAAGTATATGATTAAAGATATGAATTATGGGCTAAAAATGGTTTTGGAAAAGAATTGAAAAGTGAATTCTTTGAATTTTCATTAACTCAAAATCAATGGAGTTTTTCTCTAAATACTTGTTTATGAGTTTAAGTTATAAAAGAGAGCAATAAATATAGAGAATAATTAGAATCATAAGAAGAGCCGCAATACAACACAACACAACTCAAGACAACACAACACTATTCAAACAAAGATGACTAGAAATATATTAATTTAGAGCCGTTTAGATGCCATCCCCGGTAACACTGAACGCTTCCCTAATCATTATTGTTAGCTTAAAGTGTTTATTGTTATGACTATGGCTATAGTTATGGCACAAAATAGAAACGCCATTAAGTTTTTGAAATTGCATTACTTTTTTATATACTTAATGCTGTACTGAATATACTGTGAGAGTATAGACATCCATATGCCAGCGCTCAACAGACCTCCGATTCCTGCGATACTGTTGTACTTGTAGTCAAACAGGCGTTTGAAATGCATTTCTATTGTGTTTTTTGGTGTATTTTTGATTTAAGAGTTATGTTAAGTGCCGCTCACTTGTATGAATGGATCATTTTTAAAGGCAGGCATTTATTTATGATCTGCTCAGCGGACGGACCGTCGGATCCATAATTATATAACAGCGCTCCTCTTGAGTGAGAATTTTGAATTTAATGGCTATAATAATAAAGCATAAAGTGTTGAATCCAACACTACTCTCATAAGTCTCTTCATATACTGTAATCACAATTCTTGAATTAGTTTTTCTTTTTCCTCATTTGTTTTTATATTCCTTTTGTTTGTTTGAATTCTTTGTTTCATTCGCCAAATCCTTAGTCGAGATGTCATTCAATTTAATTATAGTCTTATTATAAACTAATTTCAATTCTAATTTAATGTCTGAAATGTAAACTTATTTAACGTCAAATTCCACGTACTTTTCAATTATATATATATTTTGCTTAACTATTATATCGAAAGCATTGAAAAGTGAATAGTGTTTTGATTCACAAATTGCATGACTTTAAAAACTAAATGATTAATGAATTTAATGATTATTATTTGTTTTTCATTGGGTTTTCTTTCCACCAAAAATGACATTTCATATGGATTTTAGGCATTGAATGAATTCAATGAAAGCCTATTCTTCATGTTTACTGATATGTTAAATAAAACTTCCCTTTTATTAGTCTACGGATTATTATTATTCAATTAAGTTTTCCGTATTGACACAATCGTTGCAAACGTTTTTAGCGAATATTTTTTGAATTCAACAACTGTTGGCCTGTTTTACTCGATTCTGGATTTCCATTAGCGAAAGGGCACCGGTATATGATTTAGGCGCACAGTATATACATGTGCTGCCAATCTATGTATCATTGAGACCGATGTTTCTCTAATATGAGGCGTTGAAGTGCACGCAAATGATTCTCTCCCGTAATATCAGTCCCTTCTCTACTCTAACTCTCAGCTTATGCTATCTCTTCACCTAAATTAATGCCGTATATAATGTGCGAACACTAAGAATACTACATTGAATGTACATTCTATACGTTATGTTATATTATATTATATATCAAAATCCATTAACGGAAATATTTGAGATCTAAGTTAAAGTACTTTTTTATTTAAAAAATATTTCATCCAATTCATCAAATTTTATTGAAAAAACAAGAATTATTGACGAAAAATATGAATATGAATACAACTACTGTTTAGTTACATATAACTACAGTATAAATACATAAGTATAGCACACCTTATATTAATATTAGAAATAAAGTTTGAATTGAGGAACACATTAATATTTGAATAGTTGATAGAATAGTACAACGGTTTCCTCTCCCATACATAGAGAATATGTTAAAATGTTTTCAATTATGGTATTATTCTTTGGCCACCTATTGCTCTATTTAGAGCCGAGTCTGATATACAGTACATAATATTGAACGAGTAGTACAGGCAATGAATACAACGAAAAGTTGTTAATTAATGCAATTTTAATGCAGAGATCTATTTTGAAAACGCTTTAGTGAGGGAAACGGTGCACGCGTTTCACTGGGACTTCATTTCAGAATATCATTCAACAAAATAGTTGTGATATTCACTCAATTGATATATTGATCCGATTGTGTCGAGAGCTGTTCCTCTCTCTCTCTCTCTCTCTCTCTCTCTCTCTCTCTCTCTCTCTCTCTCCACTCTCTCCACTCTGTGTTACTTTAATATTCAATACTTGTGCTATTGATGACAATATTTAACACCATGTTAATTCTAATATATGGGTTAAACTTCAATTTCACATTTAATTTGTTGGCCTAATATATGTATGCCTTAGGGTTTGAGTCCCTTTGAACTAACGAGAAGAGAAACGAAACCGATTTACCAGTGCTTAGAGTANAGAGAGAGAGAGAGAGAGAGAGAGAGAGAGAGTTGGAAACAAGAATTATTTGATTGAATGAATAGAATATCAAAGAATTGAATGAAAAGTAGGAAAACTTGAGGTTAAAAACGGTTGAAAAATATTAGTTTTGATTTTGACATATTGTGTATAAATACAGTATAAATAAGTTATAGACATTATATAGTGATAGAGAAGTGAATAAATACTAGCGAATGGTTCATTGAAATGAGTTGAAGGGCAGAGGAATAACTTCTTGTACTCCTCTTATTTCTCTTATTTTCCTCTTTCTTTATTTTGCTCCTATTTTTGATGGTTAGGGACGACATCCGGCTTTCATGCTGTGGCCATTCACTCACTGTATTGAGTGATGAAACTTTTTGAAACTTTATGAGCCTTTATAACAAACTGATCTCCCATTCATGTCTTTCTATACTATAGATTACTTCACCAACAAATACAACATCAAAAAATGCAAATACACGGCGCCGGCGGTCGGGGCTCATCAGTGACCACACATTACTCTAGCAGTGGTAGGAATGGGTCGACAAATCTGAGCGCATCGACAAACACGTCGTCTTTACACCGATTCAGTGTCGACGCGTTGGCCAGTAGTGCCAATAGTGCTAATCACCAAAAATCACATCTTTTAAATGTCACATCAGATGAGGACAATAGTCTCGCCTCTTGGGATGCAGAAGCGGATGATGACGACGACGACGACGACCCCCTCGATGTGGGCCCTCTCAGCCCCACCGCAGTGTCCACAACGTCCGACTCGAGTCGTGGAGGTAGTAGTCCTTCAATTAATAACATGTCTACAAATAAAATGAATAAATAATAATAAAACGGACAGAAAAAAGAAAAAACAGAAAACAGTTATCGTTTTGTGAAAACATTGTTTAAAACAAAAAGAATCAGTGATTGGAAGGAGAGGTGCTTTGAGGTGAAGGGCATTCGTGGACCCAATCTGTGCTCTTCTTCACAACGGAAACCAATTATGAAAGAAAAAGTGGTTAATCGCCCGAAATGGTTGATCGCACGCACATCCACTTAAAACAGAGACACTAATTATGTAAAAACTATATTAATTTTGTCAACATTAATGAATAGTTGTTAATATCTATTGATTAAGCATTTTATGCATTCTTTACAATTCTCCACACATTCAGTGATCATTCTGTGTATTATATTATTATAAATATTAGTTTTAAAACAATTCTCGACAAAAACTAATTTAATTAAATTCTTAGAGAAATTTTAATTATAATTATAAACATTTCAATATGTTATGCAATTAAATCATGACTTTAAATATAAGTGTATATATTGTATACATAGATATATATTGATATAATATTGAAAAATTGTGCTTTTATGTTATTTTTGGGACAAAGTATGCGAGCATTAAGTTAAGCAAAGAGAAGGTTTTCATAAGTGGTGTAAAAATGATGAAAAGGTTTTGTGAGTATTTAAATACAAAGTGTGTTTCACAGATCGATGTTTAGGAATCGCATGTGTTTTTGTTACCATATTTTGTGTTGAGAATTGAATTCAATTGAATAACACATACTATAATACGTTTCGATGCTTTTAAAAGAAAACATTGATTTTTTGTCTACACTTAGAAAGGAAGGCCAGACAACCAACAAGTTATAGAGTGTTAGTCTATTTGGCACTACTTTACGCTAACACTGGTATTGTTGTCGAGTCTCAATAGCAATAGCTTTGCCTATTTTTATTTATGAAAGCTGTTGAACCGGGATATGATCGCATAAACCCGAGGATTATATACACCAGTTGTGATAGTTTTGAGAGAGAGAGAGAGGGCTAAATGGACGAGAGAGTAAGTCTCAGGCAGAGGTGTTGTATGGAGATATCGGTGTAGAATTTTTTTGTGAAACTATTATTCTATGCATTATATGATACCATAAATTTCTAAATCGGCTTCAGTTATGTTAAGCATTTTGTGACCGAATGGTGTACTGAAACTAAATCTCCATTCATTGCTATTTTGTATAATAGATTTGATGAACTAGAAGAACCTGCAGTGAGCACAGGCAGTGAGCACATGGCTTTAGGCCATCAGTTCAGACCACAAAGAGTGGCCAACTATTGGGTACAATTGTCATCAGCAGCTCTATTACTAAATATAAATACAACAATACTTGTTATTATTGTAACTCTGGAAACATGAATATGAGAAAAAATGTGTATACTTTTTACATATCATTTCAATTCCATTGCTATTATTTAGTGAACATTTAACTGTTAAGTGATAACTATAGACGAGACCATTGCTTAATAACTTATTAAACATTAATTTTCTCTCACTTTCTATCATCAGATCCATACCTAAAATAGTATAAATTGAGACCAAAAACATTTTTTTCTGTCAGTAATTTAATTGCTAGACTCCGAGTGCTATACGAAGTGCTCACACAAAAAGCTATAACCGAGTGTTAGGGCAGAAGAAATAGTAGAGTATTAAATAAAAATAGTGTTATTGTCGTTATTGTCTGATTTTTATCCATTTTCTCATTTTAAGAAATAATTATATCACAAAATACAATATTGAATACGAATCGCTCACACAATTTGCTATAGTTTTTTTGCTCTCACTTTTTCGCTCCTCAAAGAACAACTTAAATGGTGTGCAATATATCGGGCCCTCCAAGGGTTGCCTAAACAATACACACATACAATATCCCAGCCCTAAATGCATTACTCAAATGTCTTTTAGTGCCATATTTGTTGTGATATAAGTATTATTTGGATTTCAAATAAAAACTCAACCAAAAATGACAGCTCTCTTCGAATGTCTGTTGAAAAATGGTTTAAATTCATAGACGAGAGTAGACTTGGCTTTCCCTTCAATATCTAGTCAAACAAAAAAGCTGTGAATATCTATACCGTATATGTTATATATTTATATATAGAGTCAACTTCGGGGTGAGTGAAGTGTTTGTGCCGATCAGGACATGACATCACTTTAATCTAATTGAAAGGGAAAGAGAGTGCGAGAGAGCGAAACGAAATAAAAAAGTTGAAATACTGGCCATCAGTACAGAGTAAAGAAGGAAAAGCAGATAACATTCAACTATTCTCTCTCTCTCTCTCTCTCTCTCTCTCTCAACTGTCTTTCTTTTATATTGCATTTAACATTCAAATCAATATTAAATTTCATTAAATTAAATACAAATAATATAATAACATGTGATATTATTGTGATATTAGTAATATTTATAGGGAAACAGCAGTACATGTGTATGCGTTTCGTTTCATCAATTATAATCTCTATTATTATTATATTATATTCGTATTAATAAATGACAAACAGATATATATTTGTGGTAATAATAGTAGAAATAAGTCTAAATCGGTAGTCAAGCCAATGGCATAATTAAGAAAATGAAAAGTACAGATGTTTTGCAAACTATTTGTTCACTGTATAGCTTCTCAATAGCCATTTACGGCTCTTAATATGCAATATATAATTACAGGCTTTCATTAATGAGCTTTAAAGCTATCATTAATAAAGAAAACATCAATAATAGGACAACAGTGACGACAACATCGCTGCTGACGAGCAGCACAAGTACTGTCAGGCCTTACGGGCCCTCATTGTGCCGATCATTCACTACAACAATGTTATACATGTTTTACATTTATGAGAGTTATTGTGATTCAACATATACTCTAAGCACTGGTAAATCGGTTTCGTTTCTCTTCTCGTTAGTTCAAAGGGACTCAAACCCTAAGGCATACATATATTAGGCCAACAAATTAAATGTGAAATTGAAGTTTAACCCATATATTAGAATTAACATGGTGTTAAATATTGTCATCAATAGCACAAGTATTGAATATTAAAGTAACACAGAGTGGAGAGAGTGGAGAGAGAGAGAGAGGAAAATAAGAGAAATAAGAGGAGTACAAGAAGTTATTCCTCTGCCCTTCAACTCATTTCAATGAACCATTCGCTATAGAGAAGTGCAGCACAACTACACAAGTGCTCAATTGATTGATGATCTAAACGCCAACATTTGAGTAAAACTCCATTATTTACAGTAAAATACTACGAAAATTAAATGTTTTTCCATTTAATGAGTTCATCAACATTTCACTTAACAAAACTAACATAAATGATATTTATGTTCATAAGTGTTTGTAAATCGTATAATTTTATGATAAATCTCTAAATCCAGTTTAATTTTTAAATCATACCATTTTTAATATATTCTGTTTTACAAATAATAGTTAAGCTTTAATACAATAAAACAGTCAATCATTCAATCAATATTGTATTTTAAGATAGAGATCGCATTCTTCTTGTTTATGGTTAAACACAAATTTATTATTTAAAAATGTGTCAAAAATAGTGCGTTCACTGTATTATACATTATACTGTATATCGCATATACTGTATTAAATTGAATATCATTTGTTATCAGAAATCTATAAAAATATGTTTGCAATAACTGAGTGAATGGTAAGTGTGTGTCCTCTCAACAGATTGTCACATCAATTGACGACAACATTGAGAATATATTGTATTATATGTTTAATGCATACATTTATTATACATGTATTCATAACAGTGTATAATTCAAAAGTGTTTATATTGTTTTTAATTGTTGTTTGGTTTTACCATTATTTGCATTCATTCAATATTTCATAGAATAGAGAGGAAATGAGTTTTATTTTATTTCATTCAAATAATTTTATTTTTTATTTACATTTATTTGTTTATATAATATTAAATAATATTTTGAGATAAACGATCAATTCTATAAAATGTTGCATTTAATTATAATTATATATACCTTATGAAAGAATAGTTGGAATTTTAATCATTCTTTAATATATACTTAATATACTGTATACCGCAAATAATGTTAACTCAACAAATATTAATATTTATATTAAATTATTTTTTTAATTTCTGAAATAAAATATTTAATTGCAAATAGTTTTAAGTTTAAGATACAAAAATAACTAATATTTTAGACAACTGTTATCATAGTGTTATGTGAGCTAAATATATTTGAAATAATAAAAATACATTCTTATTAATAAACAGTATTCTCTACTCTACTCTCTATTCATTTTTATTGTTTTGTAAAACGTTTTTATTTATTTTTTTGAAATTAATTTATTTCTTTAAATAAAATAAAGAGTTTTATTGATTTGATTGAATGACTGAATGGATTGATTTGAATCTTATATTAAAGTATTTGACGCTCGAAGTGATTGCAGACATTAATTAAATATAAGCCATCCTTTAGTATACTTACGATGAGATGATTGCAAGTAATTCAGTGATGAGTAGAACAGATGTATTCTGTATTCAAATATTTGTTCGTTCGTAACAACTATTCATTAGTTTAGCGCAGTGTGAGTGCAGAGAGAGAGAGAGAGAGAGAGAGAGAGTTGGAATCAGTGTTTACACGATCTCATGGGAGAGCCATTAAAGAGAGAGAGAGAGAGAGAGAGAGACCGAGAGTTTAGTCAGACTATGTGTGAAAGAGGGAGTAATCAAACAGTGAATACAATGAATACAGGATTATAAAGGAGTAGAGAAGGAATGAGTGAATTTTGAATTTTGCATCAAATGAGACCAATTCACGAGTTATTTAATTCAATGTTTTGAGAATATTAACGCTTATTAGTTGTGATGCGATGTCTCCTGTGTTTTGAGAGCATATTTTATGCGAATAAAATAGTTATGAGAAATGGAAAAACTCTTGAGAATTGCAGACATTAGACAAATGGGAAATAAATCAGAGACTAATAAGAATGAAAAGGAAGTATTGAAACATATCTGACTCTAATAGTCATTTGGATCTAACAATAGGTTTACAACCAAAATAAGTGCAGAATTTGTGAACAGGTGTAGAATACAGCTCTCAATCATACAGTATGTGTATATAGTGTACAACATATGAAGCCATACACTATAGGAAGGGTATGGCAATGAAGGCAAAGGTGTCAAGCATTCCGAATGACTTATTTTAGTACTCATTGTTCGATAAATAAATTGCTATTATATTCCGT